TCCACTATGCTGTGATGGGCTGTTTTTACAATGGGCTGGACGAAACAAAAGAAAAGAAAACAAAAAACGAATTTGATAAATTATAATAAAAAACAAAAATTATATATCTAGTTCTTAAATAATTATTTATTATGAGTGCAGTTTTCATGAGCTCATATTCTATCCGAAACTATCTGAAATATTTGTACTTTAAAAAATTAAACTATCATATCGCAAGACAATTAAAGTGAGCTGCAAAACAGCTAAAATGTAAAAAGGTGACCAGTTTACTGTACAATATATACTTTTCCCTTATAAATTAATTTAAAATCTTGATTTTTTGATACAAAAAAGTTAATGCAAACTTAGTACAGATTTTTTTAAACAATTCAAGATTCCTCTGGTGCTCTTGTCATCCTGCAACACCGTTGTACCTGAATTATACGTAGGATCTGTAAAACAAGCTGCTGTGCTCTTGGTGAGGTGCAGGTCAGCAGGGCGATCAGGCCCTTGTACACCTGATTCTGGTATTTGGGGTTTCCATGGGCCAAAGATTCTAGCAGGGCGGCGGCGGTCTCCTGAGTCCCCTCTGTCTCAGATTTGGCCAAACATTCAGCTACGGCCTTCACACCTGTCAATCATAGAAGAACAGATGCGAAAGCTGAAATCAGTTCATGAGCCAGTATACAGTATGTGTATGTGTGTATATAAAGTTGTCAGAGCTTGCCTGTCAAAATCCCCAACCTTCAAAACAGATCCAGATTGAATCATGCAAGGTTTTAACCTCACAATATTTCATGGAAATCTAATTCCATAATACATCACTGAAAAAAGAGCTGGAGCTGTTTCACTTCTTGATTGGTAGTTTGTTGTGCTGTGTAAGTACCGTAGCTTTCACAGATTAGCTCTTTATATTTTTGGCCCGCGTTGGCGATGATCTGGAGCAGGCGAAGACCCTCGGTTTTATCCCCTTCCTTGAGTTTGTCTTGTCCTAGAATCTCAAGCAGGGTAAGCACTCCACCCACCTCCAGAAACTCAATCATGTACTGATGACTGTTCATGCAAACAAACAAAATGAATGAAACCATGTTAGGATAAACCATAGGATAGGATGTTTAATTTGCACAAAGATCTTGCATGCTTAGTACTGAAATTATATCCACAGCATTCATTTTGTCTTTTACCTGCTGTTAGCAGACAGGAAAACCCCCACTGCTCTCAGCTGAAGGTCTAGACACGTTCCAAACATATAGCTGGAAACAAAAAATGTAAGGAGGCATACATGGCAGGACTGATGTCTCTCAGTTCAACTTAAGTTTAATAGTCAGATATTCAGAAGGTATCTAATTTTTTAGAGCACAGATAGATAAAGCATGACCATACGTTAGTCTTATCCAGGCAGTGAGCCGAGCAAGGAACAGGCTGGCAACTTGTGCGAACTCGAGCTCCAGTTCAGGACACGTCTTTCCAGTGTTCTTGGCCAGAAAGTCACTTAGCATTCGACTGCGCACCGTCTTACTGCCCTGATCCCACTCATGGAGGAAACACATCACCTGACTGATGGAGGCCTGCTCCTTACTGCTAGACATGACTCAAGCATCTCACAGACTGTGGGAGACAACAAACAATATCAGCTAACGTACGTGTTACTAACGGACAAATATATTAGTGTTTTACTTGTTGAGAAAAAAAACAGCATATGCTGGTTAGGCATGTTTTGAACCATGGCAGCTGGTTTGAGCTGGTCCTTAGCTGTTCATGGGCTTGTTTAAGCTGGTCCTAAGCAACTAGCTCCTGCTCAGTATCAGCTAATAACCAGCTCAGGACCGTCTTAAACCAGCTCAAACCAGCTACCATGCTTCAAAACAAACCAGAATATGCTGATTTTTT